GGGGGGGGGGGACACTGGTAGGAGCTCCAAGGACTCAAGAACAGGAGAGGGAGTCTCTGGAGGAAGGGCCACTGAGTCCCTTGTCCCTGGCATTGAATTCATTTGCTCACAGATACTTACTGAGTGTCCAACTTATGCCAGAGGTCAGGTGGAAGGGTCAGGGTAACCTCCTTAGAGCGGGGGATTACRAATGGCTCTTGCTCCCTCCTGGTGTCAGGGAGGCTGGGGAGCTGGGTGCCACTGARTTTCCCTCTTGTCCTGCTGGCTCCCTTGTGCTGCTCCCTGGGGCCACTAGAGGGCAGCCYAGCCTCAGGCTGAGGCCCAGCAGGGGCAGGCTCATCTATCCCCAGGCAGAGACCTGCAGGGAAGAGGCCTGCTCACCATTAGAATGGAGGTTTCACAAAAACCTTTGGATAGAGAWACACCGCCCTGGGTCCCAGGTCAGGCAGTCCTTCCCGATGTCTGACCTTAAAAATAATTCCTCATTCAGGATCCCCACTTTCCTGCTCTCACCCCAAGATTTTCATTCTCTAGGTTCAGTTCATTCATGTAAGAACTGRTTTACAGCATACTCCTTTTCTGTGCTTCTCTTATGTGGGAGGCCACCGAAAACGCAGTGGCGCATGACAGAATAATAATTTGGTCAGCCCCTTACCAACTGCAGACTTGAGCATGTGGCTGAATTTCCCCGAGCCTTGGTCAYGTTGTCTGAAATGCAGGGATAAGATCCACAGCACAGGGCTGTGGTGATTTCTCAGGAAGCTCATGGCACATCAGTAGGTGCTCAAAAACKGCAGCTGTGGTTTTCCTGTGCCAGGTGCCAGGTTGACCTCAKGCCTCCAGCCCCCTTGTGCCCTTGGGGCGCTGAATGGCAGCCTCTCCTGGGGGCTGGGGTCAGAGAAGCCTCACGTGTCCTTCCCTCCCACCACCAGGGCTCCTGCTGAGACTGCCCTGCCTGGATGCCCCCCCAGACTCTCAGTGCTTCGAGGACCAGATCTACTGGGAGGTGAGGCGGTCACAGCCCTGGACCCCAGGCCTTCATGCCCTTTGACCTCCTGTGTTCCCCACAGCCCCGAGCTGTGGCCTGCAGCTCCCTGGAGCTCTCCCGTGGTCCCCTTCCTGCCTTCCAGGTRCCTGGGGAGTATGAGAATGAAGCCCAGGGACCCCTGACTGTGGAGGAACCAGACACTCGGGCCTAACCAGCTGCSAGCCCTTGAGAGGATATTCTCTTTTTAGAAGATGATGGCGGRGACTGGGGCTGTAGCTAGTGGTAAAGCACTTGCTTAGCATGGGCCACACCCTGGGTTYAGTCCCCAGCATCCCCTGTCTMCACACACACAGATGTCCTTTAGAAGGTCTGGAGGGGGTGGAGGGACAGGAGGGAACTGGGTGGGGGAAGCCTGGCCAGCTGCCCCACCCCACTGCCCAACCAGCCTGCACATGGGCTAGAAGAAGCCAAAGTGAGCCTTTGGGCCAGTGTCACACAGTTCCAGTGACACCTAGGCCAGGCTCAGTGCCCTGGGGTAATAAACACCACCCTCACCAAGGATTCTGACTCCTTTTATTGGTGTCTGAGGGACATGGGAAGTTCCTCTTCCCTCTAACTCGCAGCGTTAGAACCCAGAAGAAGGAAAAGATCCTCGTGGTGAAAACATCCTTCCTCCCCGGGTCCATTAGTCTCTTTCTAGGAGGTCACGTCTTAAGAGGCAGAGCCCTGGCCTGGGCTTGTGTCTCCAGGGACAGGGAGAGCCTGTGTCTGTTCCAGCACAGCTCAGCTGCCACTCTGACCCTCAACTGGGGTGGCCTCTGAGCAGAGCAGGACCAGGGGGCCCTCATGGGAACGCATTGCCTTCCCCTTAAGCTATGTGGCACCAACCCTCAGAAACTGCAGGCAGCCATCACCTAGGTGCCATCTTATGTTTCTGTCCTGAAACTGAGGAGCGAGGACAGGAAGGGCCTTGGGTCGCATGGCTCTGTGGCACTGGGCAAGAAAGGTGGGCCAGGGCCTCCTGTAGCCTGAAGTTATTCGACCACCAGGGGGCGCTCCAGATCCAGCAGAGGAAGAAGCCGTCTTCATGCCTGCCATTCTGTGGTTCTCTACCAAGAATTCATACCTCGGCCTTTTTTGAGCTCCCACCCCCCCCCTTACATGTCAGGCAGAGGCCGGGGGTTTCAGGACTCTCACCCTATAGAGAATCCGTCCTTCCAGGACGCTGACATCCCCTTCCCCACACTGAACGAGGGACCTAGCCTCCTGTCCCCCAGCCTCCCCTGACCCCTGATGGCTGGGGTAGGTGTGTTGGGGGTGAAGATCCCTGGGCTGAGGCAGGAGACTGACACCTGAGATTGCAAAAAGGTCTTCTGTCACTGCCAGCCCCTGCTGGGAGAGAAGGAGCGAGTTTGGGAGAGCTGAGACCTCATCTCCCGTTCCACCCTGTCTCAGCTCCCAGCTCCACATGGGGAGAGGCACGTTCACCCATCTTGGCCRCAGAGCTCCAACAGAGGTCTGAAAGAGGACTTCCCAGGGCAATTTAAGCATAGGATAGCCCCCGCCCTGGCCCAGCCTCTTYTGGGTAGGGAAAGAGATGAATTTTATTCATTCGTGACATCAACATTTTATAGCCTTACCTTGTCCCTTAACTGATTTTTCCATTATTTTTAATATCTGTAGCTGTAGATAGACATAATACCTTTGTTTAAATATTTTTGTTGGTTGTGGATGGATGTTTCTGTATTGACCTGTGGTGCTGAGAATCTGACCCAGAGTCCCACCATGCCAGGGAGCAGTCTACCCCTGGGCCACCACCCCGGCCCTGAATGGTTCCTTCTGGATGACAAGGAAGCCTGTTCTTTCAGGCACCTCCAACTGAGGCGAACCACCCATCTTGATCCAGGAAGTCTTCCTGGAGAAGGGACGACAGAGCCCTCTAAGAGAGCAGTTGCCAAACCAATTTTTAAGGGACAAATGGCTACGAGTCCCAGGATGGCCTGCCAAGAGGTCGGAGAAAGGAGGGAAGGAGGGAAGGCGTGAAGGCTGTTCCTTGAGAGGTGGCCCTGTATGTTCTGGAGCCAGATAGTTTCAAGCTCCATCGCTCCCTTGAAGTCCCCCATGGTTCCAGCAATGACACTGAGTGCCACCATACTATGCTCCTATTTCCACTTTATTTCCTCCTTTTCTTCCCCCACATGTGGGGGCACATGGTGGGTAGCTTGTTCCATTCCATCCACCTGAGCCATTATTTGAGGACTGGGCCAGGGGGTCATCATACCATGATGATTCTTCCAGGGAATTCGGAGGGCAAGAAGACAGGTGTCCTGAGGACCCCTCGATATACAAGAGCTAGCCCCCCCCCCCAGCTCTTGCCTGTAGCTCTGGCTTCAGCCCTATTGGTCCCCCACACGGTGGCCCATCCATTCAGGCTGGGTCAACAGGGTGACAATGAGCAGGTCAAGGGGATGCCGGGGCCAGGGGCCAAGGGGGCTCCTTCTTCACCCATTCAGGACAATGAGGCTCTGCCCCTTGAGGACAGCCCCTCTGATCACCACCATTATTAGTTTCAATGCAGGACAATCGSACACTTGCCCGCTCATGAACTCTGTCGAGCCCCAGTGCCTGAGCTCTGGGGATAATGATGGACGAGGACACTCCGGGGCCAGGGAGTGATGGGCTGTGCTGGGGTCAGGATGAGAGCCATTGCAGGACAGCTCTCTGGAAGCAGCCACTGTTCTGGCCTGGAGCAAGCRTGTATGGGCTGACCACAGGGTGGCCCGTCCAACGACATCTGGGTAGAAGGCCCAGGGACTTCAGGGTGCTTCTGTGCTGGTGCCACCAGAGCCTCCTGGACGGGGCGTCGGGAGCTGCCCCCTGACCTCTGGAGGACCCGGCGCTGCGCTCCGAACCCGCGCAGCCTGGGAAAGGCCCGGGATCCCCCCGATTGGGATTCACATCACGGCGCGCGGCAGCCCCAGCTCCGGCAGAATTAGACACGGCGTGGGTGTCCCGAGTGCGGGCGGTGGCCGTCGGGGCAGCCGCGTCCCCCCACCTCACCCCGATATCGCTCTCCGCCGTCGGGATCCCCCGCCCGCCCTCCCGGCCCCGCGCCCCGGCCCCTTTGTCTGGCCGCCCGCCGCTCCCCGCCGTCCACCGCGCGCCCCGGCCGGGCACCCTCGCGCCGCCGCCGGGAACAAAGCCGGCCAATGTCTCCGCGCCGGCGGGCGGGAGGGCGAGCTGGCTATGCAAATGCCCAACGGCCTGTGAGAACGCTCTCCGCCGCCTCCCGGCCTCCACCCTGAAAGAGGCCGGCGGCCGGCCCGGGTGGGGGAGGCGGTCACTGCATTAGGGATGAGCTGTCGTCCCGAGCGCCCGCCCGCCCTCCCGGGACAGAGCACCATTGTCTGTGTCCCCGCCGTCTGATGGCCAGTGGAGTCTGCCAGCTCACAGAGGATGGCGAGGGTGACCGGAACAGGCACTGGGCCCCGGAGAAGTGGTCACCTGTGCCCTTCGTACCTACCCCTCATTCCAGCCCCCTTGGACTTAGGGGTCAGACCGATGTGGGCTCGCGCTGGCGGCTGTCCTGTCCTCAGCCTGTGGCCTGCACAAGTTAGTTCCCTTCGCAGAGCCCGTGTGCCCTGGGCTTTGACTTGGCTGGTGGTGGATGATCTTCCCACTCTGTCCTACCTGTTAGCCACTCCCCTCCCAACCCCCACCCATCTTTCTTTCTTGCCCGATGGATGGACAAGTGTCTCTGAGGCCAGTTGTCTTCCAGAGTCCTGAGAAAAAGACATGGTGCCCTGAAAGCAGAGCAAGTTACTAGGCAGAGATGCCCTCAAGGGGTCCTCTGTGTCTTGCAAGCCCCAAGCCGGGTCCAGGACTTTGTCCTTGTCTCCCTCGCTCATCCACTACCTGTTAAGGAGCCCCACTTTAAGTGGGAGAAAAGCCTGCCACGGGGGACTAAAATGAGCTTCTCTGGTGATGTGAAGGTGGGAGTTCTTCCCACACGTGCAAGAGGGTGTCCCTCCACCCCAGCCCAGGTGTCCAGCTAACAGAGGGCAGTGCTCCAGCACTGGAGGATACCTGTGGACAGTGAGGAAAGGAGCTCTATGTTAAGAGCAGAGCCCATTCTGACTGTGAACTTGGCCCTTGTACCTGAACATCTACAAGCTGAGCTCCAGGATAGGAGCTTTGGAGTCACCAAGCATGTAGGACGGGCTGGGTGTGGTGGTGCACTCCTGGAATTCAAATCAGCCTCAGTAACTTTAGCAAGGCCCTAAGCAACTCAGCGAGACCCTGTCTCAAAATATTAAAAAAGGCTGGAGATGTGGCTCAGAGGTTAAATGCTCCTGGGTTCAATCACTGGTACCAAAAAAAAAAAAAAATGCAGGACAGAAACCTACTTTTATAAACTTCCACCAGGATTCATGAGATTGGGGGTGTGGCTCAGCAGCAGAGCTCTTATCTAGCAGCTACAAGGCCCTGGGCTCCATCCTCCGGACTGCACCACCACCACCAAGAAGCCTCCTGAATAAGGGTGCATGCTGCTTTTGTGAGGAGCCATTTTGGAGATTTGGGGGCCTTTGAAGCAGTGATGTAAAATCAATCAGGGCCAAATAAGAAGTGCCCCAGGAAGTCCAGGGTTTCAGTCACAGGAGAGGCTGGATGAGAGGAGGAAGGAGAGGTTCTGGTAGGGCAGGTGGTCTTCTGGTAGGTGGGGCTCGGTCTCAGGGGCCTGATTCTTTTTTTTTTTTTTAATGTTTATTTTCTAGGTTTAGGCAGACACAATATCTTTTATTTACTTATTTTTATGTGGTGCTGAGGATCGAACCCAGGGCCTCACACATGCCAGACGAGCGCTCTACCTCCGAGCCACAGCCCCAGCCCCAGGGGCCTGTTCCTTTACACACACACACACACACACACACACACACACACACACGACTGAACCCAGGGGTGCTCCACCACTGAGCCACATCCCCAGCTCTTATTCTTATTTTTTATCAAAAGACAGGGTCTCACTAAGTTGCTCAGCTCATGCAGAACTTGTGATGCTGCTGCCCCAGCCTCCGAAGCAACTGGGATTGAAGGTGTGCACCGCCCAGCCGGCTGGGCCCTGTGCTTGTGCTTTGGCCAGCCTTCCACACAAGATGGAGCCCCCCCCACTTCTGTCTTCTCCACCTGTGGTGCCTGTCAGCCCCATCCTGAGGTGGAGGCGGCCTCTGGGCC